TGTTCTTCTTTGAAGGCACCTTTCTTTGTCAGATTACTTCCATATTTATCTTTAGAGTTTTTCTTTTTGTTTAGAGAAGTTTTGTCCAATGAAGCCATAAACAAGACTTTCTTTGGAGCTTCAACTTCTTTTATAATGACCTCTTTATCTTACTGGGTTGGATCCAAAGCAGGATATCTCTTTTAGCCTATTCGCCTGACTTCTTTAAAGTATAATGTCATTAGCATCCAAAGGATGTATGTACCCGTTTAAAAACAAACTCCACTGATTTAAATTTTGAGTAAGAAGGATACTTTTTATCATGTCTTGTCAGAAATCAAATTTGTCTCCATCAACCCTAGGAGAAATGACATGAAAGAATCAATATCATTGTAGGTAGGATCCTTTTGTGTTTCAAGACCATGGATCTTTTTCTTACATGATTAAGTGTTTGACATAGTCTTTCCAATAACAAAAACATATCTCTGATCCCAATTAAAGGTGCAGAAAACATAATAAATGGGGGTTTGAATTGGGTTTCTAGTTTAAAAGCTTTTTCTCACCCAATCTATTAAGCAGCAACAATAAAGACAAACACATGAACATAAATATTTTTATCCTGGTTCATCATTAACTATGTTACATCCAATCTACCACCTTGGTGATCTGCCATAGACAAGGACTTAATCCAATAATCAAAACTTATTATAAAGCAATGACAACCTGTAACTGGTTTCTCAAGAGCCTGACTAACCCGACCGCTTAAGAAACCCCGACGATCATTAACTCCTTAAGATTCTGACCTACCCGGTCGCTTAAAGAGATCTTACCCTCAGTGACTACCCGTCACTGACTTCTTAAGAGCTTGACCAACCTGGTTGCTTAAGGAACATAACCAGATTGGGTTACAACAATTTTATGTTTACATGTGTGAATCTTAGCTAAGCAGATTACATAAATTTACAGTTAGAATGTATACTTGAGCTATATATGAAATGTTGAGCTTCTAAGTGCTTCGCTTCTCTTATTTCTTGATTTTGCACATATGTTCTTCTTTGATGTGCTTTTGTAGTTGATCCTTTAATGTATGAGAACACTCCTAGTGTCTTTACCTGGTGCATCCTTAGACCTTTGAAGCGTGTTTCTCATTGTGTTTATGAGTTGAGAACACATCTTGTGTCTACTCATTTAATTTGAGATCACTCTAAGTGTCTGTATTTTGTTTGAGAACACTTTCTTTTTCTCTCTCTAATTTCAGGTGTTTTCCAACATTTAGCGTCACACCTTTATTACCCATCCACACTTTCTAATCCTCAAAGTCCTCCTTAAGTAGACAGTGAATGTTACCGTTAAGGATGAGGAATAGATCTGTTGGTAGTGAAGACTTTGAGCTTTATTTGAGGAACACTTTTGCTGTAGAATTAGTAGGTACAACATAAAATCTTGGGTAGGTAGAAAATCTCTTTTTAGCCGTTTGAAGAAGTAATTTCTTGATTTGATGTTTTGCTTTGGCCTAGTGCATTGTAACTCTTCACCCATTAAAATATTCTAGAATACTATTTTGGAATGCGTGATATATCTTTAAGAGTTCAAAACCTATTAGATTCTGAAGACTTGATAAGACTAGGATGATACAAAATGTCTTAGAGGTGCCATATTCAAAAAAGTTTACTAGTGACAACCATAGTAGATATTATCTTTAGATCTTCTACAAGAGTACCAATGATTTAGATTCTGAAGACGTCAATACTTCAGAGTCTCTTTTGGATCAACATACGACAAAAATTCAAATTGATTTCTTCTTTGTATTAAAGCTTGGATTTCTCTTCAGAGTCTTGTAATGGCATGAGCCTTCATGATCAAATTTTCTTTCCCATGATCTTATTTTTTTCCAGAGTCTGCGACCATCAGATTTGACTTTCATAATCTCAAAGCTTGACCATACTTTAAACATACTTTTGTATTCCTTCTTTTGCTCAGAGTGTGTCCTCAATTAATAATTTGCTTAGCAGCTTTCTTCAGATTCCGTCTGCATTCAGATTTGACTTCTTTAGAGTAAGAATTTGTTCTCTTTTATCTATATACTAAACACACATAGTCAGAGTACAAAATTGTTCTCTATACTTTGTTGTCATCAAAACACAAAGGTATAGATGTAGAACCAAAATTGTTCTTACAATATTACCAAGACACAATTTATTACATAACAAATAATTCTTTGTGCATCAACCCATAAATACTTAGAAAAGTTAGTCCGATTGAGCTCATCCTCGCTAGATATTTAAGAGATATATTTTTCGTTCCATTACCCCATTTTTTGGGGGAGTTTGTAGAGAAAAAAAAGTGTGTCCGATACCATTCTCAATACAAAATTTCTCGAATTATAAAATTTGAAATTCCCCTCAGTGATTGTTGCAAGTACAATTATCAAGTGCAGTTTTTACCTTCTCCATAAAGAGTGGTTATGATTTAAAGACCGCTCAATTGTTTCTATAACCTTAAGAATGATTTATCATATGTTTAATTGTTTGTGAATACAAAAAGTAAAGGTTTAATACCTTTTTTGACCCTGTATGTTAATCTTGGGATTCATTTTGCTTCCTTAACTTTAAAAAGTATCATATTGGTCTCTTTACTCTTCAAAACATACCATTTTAGTCATTTTCGTCTAACTAGCGTCTGAAACTCAGAAATTGATCACTAAATTCGTTGTTAATTAGACGAAAAGTACTAACATAGTATATTTTGAAGAATTAAAAGATCAATATGGTACTTTTTAAGTTCAAGAACCAAAATGAACTACGAGATTAACATACAAGACCAAAAAGGATATTAAAAAGTAAAATAACAGAACATAAAATGAACTTTGCAAATCGATGAGACTGACGATGGAATGCCCCTAAAGGACACTAGAGAAGAACAAACTCGAGTATAAAAAGTTCATGTTACAGAGAGGAGGTTATATAAGTGCATGTAGATGACACCAGTAATCCAAATGACATAGAGGAAGTCAGAAAAAGGGGCACATACTATCATGTCTCCTGTCAAAGAGCCAAAAGTGACAACGACGAAGAAAATTGGAGTAACGCATAAGTGACCTCAACAAGCAGGGACAAAACACAACTCCAAGCAATGTTTAAAAACTCGAGAGTTTAAGTAGAATCGGTGGAGGATTCAAAAATCATAACTCGAAGATCGTAGCACAGATCGTAAGATCCTACTACAGGTAGAAAAGCACATGTAGCAAATCAGTGACGTCGATGTTGGGTTGAATGAAAGAGAATTCAACCAAATAGAAAGCTTGAATGTGAAAGAGAAACGAGGAAGTAATTTTGTTTAATATGTAAATTGTTAAGAGGAAGAAGAAACATGACTATTAACGAGGAAGAAGAGAAGAAGTAATGGAAGAAAGAGAATTTATGTTAGAAATAATTCTATAATGGTTGAGTTATTCCTTGAATCTATAATTTTTTCTTGAAAAGAGAAATTTTTATCAGTATTTAATACGTTTCTCTTGAAAAAGATAAATTTTGATTAGTATTTTATGTATTCCTATTTTAAATAATAATAATAATAATAATAATAATAATAATAATAATAATAATAATAATAATAATAATAATAATAATAAATTTGTATTTAATGAAACTCGATCCGATCCAGGCCCATTTTAGAAAATTAGGGTTTTTTCTAAACAAAACCCCTAAAACAGAAGCGTCGCATGTAGGATGGAAAACGAGTTACAACTTCAACTCGGGCGAGTTTACCAAGTTTCACCATTCGAGTTTATCTCCAACTCAGCATGTTGGCATGCTTCTGAAATGTAAATTCGGGCGAGTTAGCCAATCAACTCGCGATTCTTTTCTTACATTGTCTCCAAGCTCGAGACCTGACCAAATATATATATATTTTTTTAAATCATAAAATCCTGTAGGATAATGTAGTTTCTTTGTGTTTTTTTGTCATGTCTATAATTTTCTTATAACTTTTATTTTAAGTTTAGGAGAGATGTTTTGATGAATTATTAGTTTAGATTTTTTTTTGTTAGTTAGTTGCAGTTAATTTGTTAGGTTTTAAGATTCTTATTCTATTGGTAGAAGAATTTAGAAAAGTCAGTTGAATGTGATACTAGGTTGTTGTTTTATTTTGGTAACTATGTGGTAAACTGGTTATTGATTAATTGAGGTAATTGTGCATTATGTAGTCTTGTAGTAACCCCTATCACCTCACCTTGAAGTATGAGAAGTACTAGGGTGGCTATATAATTAGTACTTGAAATAGAAAGAGGAGTAGTTTAAGTTTGGGGTGTATCTGTTTTTTTGGTGGGGTTGGACTAATATAAATAGTTTGTTAATTAAAAAAAGAGGTTATTGTAAAAAAAAAAAATAGAAGAAAAAAAACAAGAAAAAAAGAATGTGAATAAATTTTTTATGCTTGAAAGAGGAGGAAAAAGTAGTTGTTCTGAATTTATACATCTAGATGATAAAATAGCATCCCATCTTACTTAAATTTTTTCTTGAAAAAACATGCTACTAGCAAAAACAGAGGCGCTAATAGTAATGCCTTTTGTTTTGTTCAATTGGGCTTTAGAATAGAACTCAGAATATTTTCCTTGGGCTTAGGAGAAACGACGTCGTTTTGCACGGAGAGGAAAGGGATTTTAATTCTATTCCATAAACCCAAAGCAAAACACATTTTTGCGTTTTCTGCTAAACCTCAGCCTCCACTAACGACGGCGCTGTCGACGATCCGCGCCGGAACCGCCGCATTCCGGTTACCGTTCAAATTCCATAAACCAATCCCGATCTACTGCTTATTTTCACATTCGTATTGAGCTTCTCTTGTGTTGCCGCAGCCGCTAAAACCCTTTCACTCTCACTCTCACTCTATTGATCATTGAAAGGATTTTGAATTTCGTAATTTCAAGTCCTAGGTACTCTCCACTTTGAAGTATTGTTCTGTGGATTCCTTTTGTTGGTGTTGCGTGGAAGTTACTTTCGGAGAATCATTGTGAACTAACAATGGCCGCATGGTCTTCAAGAAAGTTGCTCAGAGATGTTTTTCTCAAAAGAGGTGTCTTGAATCGAAGTTCAATTGTCAGAGGTTTTTCTTCTGCACCTGAAAATGCTCCTAAGATTGGTTATTATTCAAAGAAAGTATGCATTTTTATCCTTTTTTTCACATTATGCATTGTATTGTTTATGTGCTTATCTTCATTTTATTTATGAGATTTTTCATCAAAATGGGGTGTGAATATTTAAGAAAACTTATATGTAAACATATTTAAGAAAAATATATGCAGTGTGATCTAGTTTGGATAGAAGCATGGTTCTGGATAAAACATTATGGTTCTGAATAGAACATTATGGCGAAAGTTGATTCATGTAGCCGATCCCACTCAGTAAGATAAGGCTTGGTTGTTGTTGTTGTTATCTAGTTTGTGGCCGAAATTTACCTATACGTTTCTTTTATACTTCTCAGTAGTCTACTTTGGTCTGGTTTGGATTAGCTTATTGCTGCAAGCAGCTTATAGGTGTTTATTAAGAACTGAAATAAAAATAAAAATTTGAAAAAAATGAGGTGCAAGGCTTATTTAAAGTTTTGGTTATTTGTTTAAAACTCAAGGTTGTTATAAGATTATGTTAATATTCCTTTTTTCCCTCAAATGCTTGTGGAGAAGTTTATCTAACTTTCTGTTATCTCGATTACTTTGAATTGCCAGGGAAGACTATTGACAGGAGCCACCTTAGGGCTAGTTATAGCTGGCGGAGCTTATGTGAGTACTGTGGATGAAGCTACTTTCTGGTACTTTATTTGGGAGTTTGACTGTTGTATGCATTTTGATTTGCTTCTTTAAGTTTGCATTTGAAATATATTTTTATTTATTTTTTCATCTTAAGGGTAAAAAACTAGGTGTATTTAGATTTTTTCACTATATAGTGACAGTTTTGTAAGTAGTTTTCTACATTTTTGAAGTGATTATACTTGAGTTATGCTATTGACAATGCTTTATTTGAAGATGAAATGGATACCTTTGAAATGAATGATCCAATTTTGAGCTATTTTCTTTACAGTGGATGGTTATTCTCAGCAACAAAACTTGTGAATCCTTTTTTCGCTTTGATGGACGCCGAGGTTGCACATAAACTAGCCGTCTCAGCTGCAGCTCGTTGTTGGCTTCCAAGGGAGAAGAGGCCCGATCCATCAGTCTTAGGGTTAGAGGTTTGGGGAAGAAAGTTTTCCAACCCAGTCGGTCTTGCTGCAGGGTTCGATAAAAACGCTGAGGCTGTGGATGGCTTACTTGGTTTGGGCTTTGGCTTTGTGGAGGTTGGTTCTGTTACTCCCGTCCCTCAGGATGGGAATCCAAAGCCTCGAATGTTCAGGTTGCGAGATGAAGGGTAAGAATTAGTCTTTTGTTCCCGGTGTTGTCAAATAGGGACTATAGCTCTATAGCATTGCAGAATTTGAACAAATTGTTATTTTTTGTGATATGCTAATTGGTTCCAAGTGTTGTCAGATAGCAGCACTAAAACGCTTTAACATAGCAAAATATGAATAAACTACTATTTATGTGATCAACGACTGACAACATTGTTTGTTTCTTTATTCTTCTGCTTTTATTAATGGATTGTATCTGTTTTATCTTTTCTTTTTAACTTCTCCTACAACTTCAAAATATTACGATAAATTGTTGGAGATGTGAAAGTTATTACTTTTGATAGGTTGTGTACTTTTTATAAGTTCTTCTGTATTAACCTACATCGTTCTAAGCCCATTCGGTTAAATTTGCAGCGCTGTTATAAATAGATGTGGCTTTAATAGTGAGGGGATTGTTGCTGTTGCAAAACGGTTGGGTGCTCAGCATGGTAAGAGGAAACTAGATGAAACTTCAAGCACTTCAAATAATGAAGTCAAAAACGGTGGAAAAGCTGGCCCTGGCATTCTTGGTGTCAATCTCGGCAAGAACAAGACTAGTGAAGATGCTGCAGCAGACTATGTTCAAGGAGTACATACATTGTCCCAATTTGCTGATTATTTGGTAAACTTTTTTTTCTTCTATATGTGCGGGTTATAGAAATACAGGAAAGATAAAAATTAATATGTCACAACTTATCCCGGTATGATTGGGGGCAGGATATAAAGAAAGTCACATCTTTTTATATCTAACGAATGCTTGGTAACTTTCTTCATGCCTATAAGGGATATACATGGTACTAGTCAGTATAGTTGGTAAACTTTCCTTGTTTGTTGGGTGACGTGTATCTTTTGCTAATGTATTTATACATAATTAAAAAATATATTTGCATTCCATTACATAGAAAACTATGATTTTTCAGTAATGTATGCATATACTCTATAGTATAGATTAACAATGAACTTTGACAATGTAATGTTCATCGTCACATTGATTACACATTTACAGCATTAACAACAACAACCAAAGCCTTTTCCTATTAAGCAAGTCTGCTACAAGGATAGGAAAAAATACTTTAATGCCTTTCAGGAATAATGTCCAATGATAGATTATTAAATTCCGAATCTCTTCCTACAGTTTGATATATGTTTTTCCTTAGTCTTTCTCTTTCTGTCTATCTATTACAATATTCTACCTCTTTTCTACTAGTCTTTTTGAAACATCCCAATTCACCTTTGACAAGAATCTATCATCTTTTCTATAGTGGGATGGGAGTTATCCCAACATTCTCTCTAATTGTTTCAATTATAGGTCTATCTTGTTTTATTTGAGCATTCATCCATATTAATTTTCCATATTGGCAGCAACAACCTTTCTTTCCCTGGCTCTTTTATGGCCTGATTGACAATTCGAAAAAACAAATCGTCTATATTCTGTGCCAATTTGGTTTAATGACGAGAAGAGATCTAGATGCATACATGACCTGGATCATTAGTCTTTACAGTTTGATCAAATATCGCTGTCCTTGTTTAGGAGCCAACTATCACTAAATGATCTGTTAAAAGTTTTTATTATTATCTCTAATACCTCTCTTCTCACAAAACTCCCAGACTTAAAAATGTGGATAACACTCTCATATGTGTGCTAAACTTATTACTTCTTTAAAATTTAAAAGAATGGTGCCAACTGCCAACAGGGTAACACTGATTAAGCTCCTGACTACTTAATCAAAGACCCGCTCCAACCACATGAAGAGAAAGCTGAATGCTCATCATTATTGATATCTTAAACTCTTCAGAATTCCCTTGCAAATAACATATTGTTTTGGTGAAGTGGTGTACCGGTGGTCTGTCAATCATGGCCTGATTTGACTAGAGAACAACAAATCAATCATGGCCTTGTTTAGATAGCTAGACAATATAAATGCTAAAAATATCAAAGTCCATCTTGGCCTGCTCCATTTTTTGTTTATTCAAAAACCAGTACCACTCTAAAGAAGTGCTTCAGCCAATTTCTTGTAATTGAAAAGCATGTCCAGTCAGTGTTGTCAATCTGGAATTGCAAATAATAGTGGTCTGTTCAACTTTTGCTGCACAACAGTGCTATAACGCGCTATACGGCAACATTTTGACTAAATATTATATTGCAAAACAATAGCGATATGCTAAAATTCCGCCACGCTATAGCCTGCCATTTAACAACACTGTTCATTACGGATTGGGGATGGAAAATCAGCCATGTAAAGGATCTCACATTCTCCAAAACGGTGTCGGTAATATGATGGTTCACCCAAACTGATATGTGTTTTTTCGGTTCTCTTAGATTTTCAATAGATGGCTATTTCAAGTATGTCTTTTTCGTTGCTCATGCCCTAGTTTAGGGAAGTGAGAAATTTTGTGTAGGAGATGTTGGATGATGTATGAGAGGGAATTTCCTGAGGAACTTATTGTTTGGATAAACTTCTCAAGAAGCACATTAGGAAAAAAATTCCACAACCATCTTGCAATAACTGAGATTTTATATTAGTTAAAATTATCTTCTACATCTCAATTTTCCATTAATATTGTAAGCTTATAAGGAGGTTTTTTATTGAAAAGCTCCATCAAGCTTGGTGCTATTCAAAATGGGCCATGGTAAATAAGGAAAAGGAGTTATTTGTCTAGATAGGGATATTTGGGTTAGAAAATTTGATATACTAATTTCATTTTTCTAGAAAGAAAAATATCAAGTTTCATGAGGGTAAATGCAATTTTTTGAGATGAATGCTTGATATTCTGTTCTAAATGTTTTTATCCTTTTTCTAGGTGATTAATGTTTCATCACCCAATACCCCTGGCTTGCGCATGCTCCAAGGAAGAAAGCAATTGAAGGATCTTGTGAAGAAGGTAGAAATTAAGAAATGAAGCTTTCTTCATGTGCATCTCATGTTGATACTCAACATATTGACTCTAGAAAAATTTGCTTTTTTTTCTCAAGGTTCAGGCTGCACGTGATGAAATGCAATGGGGCGAGGAGGGTCCCCCTCCATTGCTGGTAAAAATTGCACCAGATTTGTCTAAAGAAGACCTTGAAGATATTGCTGCAGTAAGAATGTGCAGATTACTGTATTTTTCTCCTATCTTCATCATCTCCAATGCTGTATAACAATTTATATCTGTTTGTAGGTTGCCTTGGCTCTTCACTTGGATGGACTGGTATCTCTCTACTTTACCGCTAATATAAAACTATTGCCTGAACAAAAAGCTTCAAATTGTGCAATTTCACTTCATTTTTTCTGAATTTATTCATTTATTATGTTTAGATTATATCAAATACAACAATTTCAAGACCAGATAGTGTCAATACAAATCCATTGGCTACAGAAACTGGCGGCTTGAGTGGGAAGCCTCTCTTCAATCTCTCTACCAATATCTTGAAGGAGATGTATACATTGACAAGGGTACATTTGTTGTTTTTATATTAATATTGTTACTCATTATTCAATCTCTACACTAATCTCTTGAAGGAGATGTTTACATTGACAAGGGTACATTTTTTGTTTTTATATTAATATTGTCTTGTAGTGAAGTATTCATTATTTATTTTAGATTTGTTACGCACATTCTAGCACATAATGCTTTTCTGTCATGATTTGCTATTTTGCTTATACATGTTATTCACGCCTAACTAACATGGCTCTGTCAATTCATGTTTATCAGGGCAAAATTCCTTTGATTGGCTGCGGAGGCATTAGCAGGTAAAAACTACATTTTCCTTCCCTCATTTATTACCGTATTTTAGTACTCCTCTTATCATCTAAAACTGAAAATAAAATATACAATAATTTCTGTTCCTTGTGTATCAATTCAGTGGGGAGGATGCATACACGAAAATACGATCTGGAGCAACTCTTGTCCAGCTCTATACAGCATTTGCTTATGGGGGACCCGCCCTCATTCCTCAAATAAAGGTACCCTACTATTCTTACATTATTACACACTTACACATGTTTCAATAGTATATGCATGCACCATAGTTCTCTTCTCATTCTCATTCACATTCATTTGATTTATAGGCCGAATTAGCTGAATGCTTGGAAAGAGATGGTTTCAAATCCATCCTTGATGCAGTTGGTGCAGATTGCAGATGAAATTGATCCTTATATGAATCCCTTGATGTAAGGAAACATATCATTATAGGTTTAGCAATGTTCCTTTTTTGGCAATGCCAAATTTGCCTTTTTTTTAGGTTTGCTTTTTTCTCACTTTTCTCTTATACATTGCTGTATACCTTAAATGGGTTTGGCCATGTGCTTTGAATTGTAAAAGCTAAGGTTATTTTTATGCAGTTCAGGCAATTTTTGTTTTAGAGTGGTAATGATTTTTGGCAATAAAAGGCCAAATCATTGAGAAATACTTTTGTAGCATAAACCCATACATGATCAAGTTATGGAGCATAAAGTTAAAATAAACACATCAACATGCTGTCAAGTGGTATTTTTATTTATGTAAATATTCAATATGAAGAGATGTTATTTTGTTTGTGGATTGAAATATCTAACTTAACTATAAAGATTGATGATTTAGTTTCAATTTTAAAGGGGGTAAACCATAAAGAAGGGGATGGAGAAAAGGCAATGTGTAGAATAATGGTGATAAAGAAAGGTACACAGCTGAATATAATATGACCCATAAAGAAAAAGTATTCTTACAATAATAGTTTAATGATTGCACCCAAAAACTAAAATCAAAGTGAGATGAGGGTATTATTGCAAAAAATTCAAATTTTACATATATTAAAGATAAATTCTAATGGAAGTTTAGGAAAAGAGTTGGCTTACTCGTGTTCTCGATTGAGAACATTAGTTCAACTCACTTAAACTTTTTGTAAAAGAAGAATTTATGAAAAAATTTAAAGTCTCTTGATTTAGACAAGTCATTGGTTATATGTTCTCATTGTACAAGATTGTTTTTTAAGGATTAAAAATCTAAGGAATTTGTGAATTTTAAACGTCTTATTTAGATACAATCTTAAAGATGATGTAAATGTGGGAAGGATAGGTTCTTATTGAGTCCCCACAACGCTATGATCTATCTATCAAAAGAAAAAAAGCAGACAAGTATTAAGGTGTAGCGCACTTGTACTGTCCCCTTCTCATGTTCCTTTTTCACACCCCTGAAATAGATATTCGGGCCCAATAAAAAGCATTGTTTTTCTCTAAATTTGTAAAAACTTCACATATCAAGTCAAGTTCATTATACATCATCATTTATTTTGATAAAAATGGATATTTCATGTGGTTGAGATCAAATGAAAAAGTAACATAATCATTTTTTTAACCTTCCAACACAAAACTCTTAACTAAATTGTTGCGTTTGAACGATGTTTGAACTAAAGGCAGCTAGCTAAAAAAGTTTATTGGAGATTGATCATCAAACAAAGTACGTAAGTATGTTGCATTTATAATATGGTTGAGAAAAGTACTTGCTTAATTTTAAAGTAAATATATTTATTGATTGAAAGTTATTTGGTATCTTGGAAATAAGAATTAAACTTTGTAATATGTTTTAAAGTAACCAAAAATATATATTTTTGGTAAGAGGGAAAATGAAAAGAAAAAAAAAATCAAAAAAATAAAGTCTCACTAATACTAACTAGTAAGAGAGTTATAATTTTTTACTGAAGGTTTTGCAAAAGATCGATATGACGCATTATTATTAGTCTCAGATTTTGTAAGATAGTCAGCATAAACACTCTCTTTTTTAAGAGTATTAAATATTTGAACTCACAATTTTTTAAAGAAAAACTCGTTAATGTTGTGAAGAATCGCAACACAATGATGTTAAACATTAACAGACTCTGAGATAAGGCTGATAGCAGAGTTGGAGTCAGAATAATACATCAGGTATTTCATGTCAAGTTCTGAGGTCATATACAAACAATGATAAAACGCCACCAACTCAACATTAAGGATATTGAAATAACCAATATCATCTGCAAAATTGTGAGCCCAAGCACCATCAATATTTTTAAATTAAATCACCACAAACTGAGACGCCGAAATTACTGAGGCTACTGCTATCAACGTTCAAAATCATATTACTATTACCTTTGCGTGCATTCCAATTTACCGTTTCTATTGGATGTGATAGATTATGCTAGAGAAAACATTTAGCTAAGAAATTAGAATATTCACTTTGATGGGTTTCAAAGTATAAAAAGATATCACTTCTTTTGCAAGACACATTTTATTCCAGCGCGCAACAACCACTAGCAAACATCCAAAAAGTTAGAGTCATCATTGGTGCCATGTTTAATCCAATCATATAAATTATCCCATTGAAAGAATAATGCGTCCAAGAAGCTAATAAATTTTCAAAAGCAAGTAGCAAATTCACAATCTCTCTAAAAGTGTAGAGTGTAACACCCAAATTTATTTTATTTAATTTTCCGTACTTAATAATTGTGTGTGTGTGTATGTGTTGATTGGTGTTTTTGGTGTGTTACAAATACTCGTAGTATTGGGTAGTGGTCTTAAAAAAGGAGTTTAAGGTGTTGGAGAGTGTGTGAGTAATATTGTAGAAATTGGGGTGGTGAGAGTAAAAACTAATTAGTGATACTAGTTAATAATTATTTAATTAAATAATATAAGGTGGGTATTATTTAAATTAAATATTTGATAAAAAATATTATTATTATTGTTATTATCTTTAACTAGTTAGAATTAGTAATAATAATAATAATAATAATAATAATAATAATAATAATAATAATAATAATAATAATAATAATAATAATAATAATAATAATAATAATAATAATAATAATAATAATAATAATAATAATAATAATAATAATAATAAAATAAGAAAAGAAGAATTAGAGAGAAGTTGTTGGAACGTGAAAATTAAAGAAAAGTGAAAAAAGAAGGCTAGAGCTCAAGGGAGAAGAGGAGAACTCCATTGTTGAAGAGTCTTTGTAAGAACTCTAAGGTAATAGTGGAGTTCTTATAGTATAAGAATTTGTGTGATGATGGCGGGTAGGTTATATTTATGCATGTTTTGTTGTTCTTTTTTCTCTATGTTATGATCATTGTTGCAATTGTGTATTTGTTGGAATGAATAAGTTGATTGATGAACACTGAAGTTGTATGGTGATGTTGTGATTGATGATTGTTTGGTGAATCTCATATTGATATTGTTAGAATTATGTAATGAACGGAATTGCATGATGATAATTGTTGTGTTATTAATGGTGGTTGTGAGTCAGGGTCGAAACTTAAGTTATGAGTTTTTTATGAAAAGAATTGGGGTTTTGATGCTTTATAAAAAGTGATTTTCATGTTAAAATGTGTGATAAACGAATTGTATGAAAAGTGAGATTTTGGGATGGGATAAAAAGTGATTTTCGTTTGGAAAAGTGCTTCTGCTCACAGTGTAATCAGTTATCAAGAATGGTGTAACCGGTTACACTGCTTTGAAAATGTGTTTCTGGGCAAAATAGTGAGGGTGTAACTGGTTACCTCAATTTGGATAATCGATTACATTGAGTGGGAATTGCATAGCAGGGGCTGGTTATAGGGGTGTAACCAGTTACCTTATATGGTGTAACCGGTTAAAGTGGGAGCACATTTTAAAAAAAATTTGAAAATTTTGAAAATTCATATCTTGAGTTCCGCGTGTCTGATTCGAGTATTGTTCGAAGCATTAGGAAGCTAATGCGATGAACTTTATCCTAAAATTGGTTTCAGTACCTAAAAATGAATAAATTGTTGTGTGATTGTGTTAAATTTTATGTAGTGTTTATGTTGCGGTGTGATATATTCATAAATGCATTGTTGTTGTTTGTTATATTGTTGTGTTTCTGTTGCTGAATATTATTGTGATGACAAAGTGCCTCATACTTGGTTATACTTGTTTTAATGATGTCAAAACGTATAAAGTTAGAAAAGTGTACTTTGGGCGGTATCATTGAGTCGCATATGCATATGTCATTTTTCTAGTGGCAAACATTGGTCAAAGTGTGTCTTGGTCCATATAGGAAAAGCACTATATGAGTTCTATATGAGTTTGATCATGTTGGTCGAGTTAGAGGTGCATTAGTAACACTTTGATGTAGCTAAACATATCAAAATCTGCATTTTTGCAAGTTCTAAGTCTTTGAGTCGACTCAAAGCTTGCTTAGGTCGACTCATACAGAAGTCATTTTTCATGTTTTACTCTCAGGAGAGCTCGCATCGACCCTCCGATCGACTCATACTGTGTGCATTTGTATTTGTCAAAATTTGGGTGCTTTGTGTCGATGCATGGACCTGTTCCGGTCGATGCAAAGAGTGTTTTTCTGCATAATCCTGAATTCGTGAGAGCTCAGGTCGACCCCCCTTGTTTTGGGTCGACCCCCCTTGTTTTAGGTCGACCGCTCGATCGTTTCTCATAAAATTCCTGTTATGCTTACCATTCAAAGTAATTGTTATGTCTGTTATTTGGTTACAACTTTGCATATATATTGAGATAGCTCATTATACACAAAATAACAAGAAAAGTGAAAATATACACTAATTTGGTTCTCATAATCTTCATCCCCTTTCTTGCATTTTCTCAACAACTACATATAATCATTTTTGTTGTGCATTCTGTATCATTGAGGTGATAACGTCCAAACATAGGATCGGTGTATTGGGTTTGAGTTGAGAGATCGGTGGGTTTTTTTAATAAAACCTTTAGGGTTTTGTCCTCTAAGAATCTTGGATTTTGGGGGTTTTGCACAAATCGCTCCTTCATAAATTCAACCGAGCGAAGGTAATTGAAGAACTGAAGGTTCTGTCAATTTAGTAGCGTTAACCAGAGGATTATGGAAGGAAGGTTTGGGTTCGAATTGTTAGTGTTTACAATCAGTCGGACAAGATTTGAATACTAGAGGGTTGTTCAAAGGTGGTGCCGTAATCAGAGGTTTACTCATCACGTTCGAAGGACTTGATTCATCTTGAATTAAGGGATGAAAAGGCATAGGCTCAACATCAACGTTTGATATTGAGTGTTTGAATTCTATTGCTTCTTTTTTAAAAACAGCTTACAACAGGTTATATATACAGGTCTCAATTCTATTTTTAGAATTGAGTGCAGACGTACCCCGGGTGAGGACGACGGGGGA